CACCCACCCAGAGGAGCTCAGGGCTGCGCTGTCGCTTTGCTTTACAGCAGACGTAGGGATTTTGTACCCCCAGGTCGCTTTCCCCTGTACATATCTATATTTTTTAATCAGATGTATGAAGAACAACGACGATGTGCAATACCCCCCCCTCCCCCCGGCCGCCCCCTCCTCTCCTTAACGCGTTTCATTTGTAGCGTCCATGGGTTCGCTGTCCCCTCTCCCCTCCCCACCCCCCCACTTCTCCCCCCACCCCGTGCGGTCGGAGCCGCTCCGCAGCTTTTGTATCTGTACCATAGTGTAAGTACCTTTGTGGATGAGATCTACTGTAAGTTTTGTACTGTACGGCTGAGGTCTGTTACAAATAAACCGCATAATTTAACGCCGCGTCGCTGGGGGGGGGGGCGGGGGGCGTTGGGACACCGCAGGGTTGGGGGGGGGAAACGTTCGGGGGGGGCGTAGGGCGCCTCTTTTGGGGGGCTGCAGGTTATATTTTGGGTGCTCTTTTATTTGGGGGGGAGCTCAGGACCCTTCGGGGTGCAAGATATAAATGGGGACGCAGGACGCTCCAGAGGGGGCTGAGGATACTTTTTTTTGGGGGGGGGAGGCCACATGACCCGGGATCCCCGTGCCCCAGGACCCCCGCGCAGCTTTCCGAGCCGCGCGTTACCGCCAGGACTACATTTCCCAGCGACCCCCGCGGCGCGCACGCACCACGTGACGCACGCCACGCACGCGGCGTACGCAGTCGATTCACCATCACGCGCACTGCGCGGATCCCTCCGCCGCGCGCCGGAAAAGTAGTCCCGATCCCGTCTCCCCCAACCCTCGCGGCCCCGGCCCCGGCCCCACCCCCGCACCCCGTCACCCCACAACCGGAGCCGCTCTGCGGGCCCGGAGCGGCGCTGCGGGGCGCCGCGTGAGGCGCAGGGGGCACTTCCGGGCGGCGCAGAAGGCACTTCCGGGCGGAGCGCTGCTATATAAAGGCGGCGGCGCGTGGCCGGGCCCTCTTCCGCCGCCCCCGGGAGCGCGATGGTGAGCGGCGGCGGCGGCGGTTCGGGCCGGAGGGGGAGCAGAGGGCGGCCTGAGGGGCGGGGGGACGCGCGGAGGCCTCGTGGGGTGCGGGGGGACCGCGGTGGTTGTATGGAGGTGGGGTGGGCTGTGGGGGGGGTCCTTAGGGAGGGGCT